AGAATTCTCCCTTTGGGATTCAGCCAGGAAGTCCAACTAGCAAGAAGAGAGTTCCAGCGTGTGGTCCGCCGTGCCAAGCGGCAGTACTGGCGCATCCTCATCGACGGCTTCTCAGATAGCGCATCGGTCTACAAGGCAGTCCGGTGGCTCAAATCACCAGGAGCCTTCCAGCCTCCACCGCTTCAAATTGGTGACGATGTGTACGAAACACAGCTGGACAAAGCGAATGTGCTGGGACACAGCACTCTTGAACGCCGCACGGTAGCGGATAACATTGCGGACCCATGGATCCTAGTCCTCCCAGCCCGGAAGATACCCTTCGCCCAGTAAGTTACGCTGCAAGAAGCAAAAGACGCCACGATCAGGACAGGCAACACATCTCCCGGAGCCGACAACATCACGGTCAAGCTGCTGCAAGCAGCATGGGACATCACCGGGGGACACGTCTGTCGCCTCTACCAGGGATGCCTAACGGTTGGCCATCACCCTGGAGTATTTCGAGAAGCGGAGGTGGCCATGATACCCAAGCCGGGAAAGAGAAATCTGTCGCCCCCTAGGGTATGGCGCCCTATTTCTCTGCTCTACTGTCCTGGGGAGGGCCTTGAGCGGATGATCGCTCGCCAACTAGCGTGTGCATCGATTTATTACGCAGTCCTCCACCCACAGCAAGCCAGCGCGCTCCCGAAACGATCTGCCGTTGACCTGGTCGCTGTACTGACTCCGATCGAGCTGTGGGATGATTCAGTTTTGAAGATTCAATTCTGGAGAATCCCTCGAACGCTGAATGCGATTGCAGATGACGCCGCGAAGCAAGCTGCTAGGAAGGTGGACGGTCCAGATGAATACTGTGAAATTAAGGGCGTCCTCACATAGTACCTATCTGAAGCAGTATGCGATGGCCACTGGACACACCCTTGGCCCAAAACCACCATCACTTCGTGGGAAGGTTTGCGTGTGCTATATCGCGGTCTACCGGAAGTACAAGAGTACAACGATAACGATGCAGGATATAAGAAATGTCTCATAAGGATAGCGGTGAGGTGGAAGTAACTGTTAATGTACTTGGACTGGAACCACAGAGGAACAGAAACACAATAGACACCCAATCTAACATCATGAAATACTTTCCCCCAGAACCTAGCGCAGTATTGATTGACCGTTATCCGTACTTAGTAGCTATCATGATTTCTCCTGTGAGTGCGACGGTTCCGTGATCCACAAATAAGGCGGACTGTGCTTTTCTGCACCCCCGCACCGACACCACCCTGATTTTTCTTCACTCAACCAACGGAGGACAATGACACAACATGAACGGAAGCGACGATGTTATCTATATTTGCACAAG